AATAGAGATTTGCTTTTATCTCTATTATGTCAGAGGCCTCCCTCAAATACTAGGCAGTTGTGGGTTTGTACATTTAAGAGTGAGGTTCCAAAGGGCTGATCAGAAGGTCTGTGAGCCTGGGGTAATCTGGCTGCGTTGTTTCCTTGTGGAACCCACCATGCCAGTGTCTTTAGGTCTTGGGATGGTCAAACTTCCCAGATAAAGGTCTTCTAGTCTCCTGCCTGGGGATAAAAACCTGTCTGGCAGCTTTCCATTTACCCAGTGGGGTGTGGGATGAGGGGAGCTCACCATTCCTTATGTAATTTACTTAATCCCCCTGCATTCAGCATGATAAATCTGCTTTCACCCTTGCCCAATGTATTCCAGTACAGAGACCTTTTTTCCCTCCAACTGCAAAAACGAACTTCCAGTTCACTGCTGGCTGAAAGGGTAGATGATCAGCTTCATGGAGTACACTGATATGACTTCTTTTTACCTTTTAATTATGGAGAGCTTCAAACATCCACAGAAGAAAAAAAAAATAGTGTAATAACGCTTCATGGGCACATCTCCAGCCATCATCACATTGTTAGTTTTTTTTTTGTTTGTTGTTTTTTTTACATTGTTAGTTTTGACCCATATGTATACCTATCTCTTCCACTTCCCTTATCCTATATTACTTTGAAACAAATGCCAAACATCATTTCATCTGCAATCATTCAGTACATACCTTTTAAAGAGACATATTAACATAACCTTGATTATAAAACCTAACAAAAACGAACAATTCTTTATTATCAAACCTCCATTCAATGTTCAAATTTCCAATTATCTCATAAATGTCACATGTTTTATTTTTACATTTGTTTGTTGCAATCAGAATACAAATAAAGTACACACTATCTGGATAGTCGATATGTCTTTTCTGTCTCAATTCATAGCTTCCCCCGCATGTAATTTTTAAATCAGAATGTATTAGATGAGGAGAGAATTTCTCAGTTTGGATTTTTCTGATGCATCTCCGAAGTGTTGATTAACATTTTCCTGTCTTCTGTATTTCCTGTGAATTGGTAGTTGGATCTATGTTTAATTGTTTCTTTCCATTGTTCTATTTTCAAGTTCACTGATTCTTTCCTCTCTCTACTCCATTCTGCTGTTGAGCCCATTCAGTAAAGTTTTGATTTCAGTTATTGTATTTTTCAGTTCTAAACTTTCCATTTGATTCTTTTAAAAAAAAATCTTTGATTTCAGAGAGAGGAAGGGAGAGGGAGAGAGAGAAACATCAATGATGAGTGGGGGCCTTCTGCATGCCCACAACCCAGGCACGTGCCCTGAATGGGAATCCAACAGGGCTCTTCTGGATCCTAGGTTGATGTTCAAACGCTGAGCTCTGCCTGGCTGTGCCCATTTGATTCTTTCTCTCTTCTATTTCTTTGTTGAGATTCACTGACCCTAGGCTATCATCTAAATGATTTTTAAAAATTGTGAGCACATGGTAGAGTGGCAGGATGTGGTAGTCAGCCTCTAAGCTGGCTGCCAATGATCCCTGTCTCCTAGTCTTCACATCCTGTGTAGCGCCTCTGACATTCTACCAGGGTTAGTTTGTGTAACCAATAGCATATGGCAGGAGTGATGGCGTATCACTTCTGACATTAGGTTATAAAATGCTGTAGCTTCTGTCTTGGGCATGCTTTTTCTCCCCCCCACACATGCTCAAATCACTTGCTTTGGGAGAAGTGAGCTACCCTGAGGTTAGGAGATTCAGGCAGCCTTCGGAGGCACCCACATGGTAGGAAACTAGTCTCCAGCCGACAGCCACAGAGAAACTGAAATCTACTATCTACCACATAAGTGACTTTAGAAGCATATCATCCCCCAGTTGAGCCTTCAGATGAAACTGCAGTTCCAGTAGAAGCTTGAATGCACTCTGAGAGACTTTGAACCAGAACCACCAGCTCAGCTGTCTCCAGATTCTGGCTCACAGAAACTATGCAGTATTTTTTAAAGCTGTTTAGTTTTGAGGAAATTTATTATGTAGCAGGTAACTAATTCACTGGGGTCCCTGCTAAACCACTTACTAAAAGATTCAGAACAAGTTGAATAAGCTTGTGATCACCAGGTTCTTTACTTGGAAATTGATGACCATTTTTGGCTCATCTGCTTTTCAGGGTTGTTGAGTCTCATAGAAGCTAAAACATTATATAACTATTAATTTTCAAACCTAATCCTCCTAATTTACAGAAGAAAATGGGAAGCTAAAAGGAATGAAAAGAACTGACTGATGAGGCATTTAGGTTACAGAGGAATTATATGACTTTGCCTGGCATCAACTATTTAGAAAAGGAACAAAGACTAAAGTATCACATGCTATTATCATTAAACAGTCACTCCATGTTTCAGGAAAATAGACAGTAAATTATGGACTGTGTGTGGTTAACTAAGAGAATTGCATTTCTTCTATGGCTCATGACAAATGTGGAATAAATGCAAGAGGGTCAGAGTTGTTCCAATTCAGCTTTTACATCATAAAGCCAACATACAGCCAGTTACGCCTTCTTTCCACTCTTTGTTGCTCTGCCAGTCATCCCAACATGCTGAGTCCAAGCACGTGGGCACCCAGCCAGGTGACTAACACCATCTCTTTGCATTCAAACCACGTACAATAGGCAAGTAGTTCCTTTCTTTAAAACCTTGCTAGGCAAGTTAGTATCAGTAACTTTAAACTATAAATACTCTTTTGTTATGCAATTTTAGTAAAAAATAAAAATAGTTGACTGAGAGGAGAAAAGAGGCTAACAGTATTTTGAGACTACAGGGGCAGACCATTTGAGCAACAATGATTAACCTCAATGGGGTTTCAAACTTTTTAATTAAAAAAATTTTTTTCTCTCTCAAAAAAGTATTGTTGTAAACCACCTTACCTTCTGCTTTCCCCTGTGCTTCAGTCTATTGATAGGGGAGAAAGTGATGTTTTAAAATGTTGAAAAAGAATCAGATAAATAAAAGCATGTATATTGACTTAACCTGGAAGGGAAAATGAAAACATGCAATAGTTGTTTTGGACTGGTAGGATAATTTTTTTCCATTCTTAGTTTTGTTTTTAATTTTTTAAAATGTATTTATAAATAATATGTATAAACATTATATATACACTATGTGGCAACATATTTTATATATAATTTATATATATAAATTTATATATATATAATTTACATTGTGTTTTTAATTTAAAAGTTCAGATTCTATACAATGTCTTGACAGAATGGGATTAATAGCTCTTTTGGATTTAAATAACTACTTATGCTTTAATTTTTCACCCTTCATGTGTATCTGTTGATTCTTTAGCTGCAAGCAACAGAGACTAGCTCTGGCTACTTAAGCAAGAAAATGTATTGGAAAAATATAGGAGAGAGTATAGGACCTGTAGGAAGGCCTTAGAGGAGCAGAAAGCAAGCAGCCACTGACAGTGTCCCCTTCACTGAACATAAGGCCCTGCCACTGGAGTAAGTGAACATGCGCCAACTATTTGTTTCTTCTGTTCAGTCCCTGGGTCTAAGATGCAAAGCCATTGCAGAATAAGATTTTTCTTGGCAAAAGATGTGCCAAACTAGAATGTCCTGAGCTGATGAACTAAAGAGGGAGTTGAAAGGACTCTCCCAGGTCCCCTCATTTCCATGTGGAAAGCAGAACACATTGAGGATCCCATCTCACCAATGCAGCCCTCAGCAGTGGGCAGGCAGTCACCCGAAAAGGAGATGAGAATACCGATTGGAAGGCCCAATGTCCACTCAGTTGTAGACTTGTTCTTACCACTGATCGAGAAGTTTGAGACATGAACTGTTTTCCAGCAGTGTTTTAGATGGATACCCGCACATCTTTCCTCCTCACTTATCAAGAACCAGTGAAGACATGCTTTGGGCATGACATTTTGGTGTGATGGATGCTTTATATAACTTGAATATCTACTCAAATTACATGAATCAAGTCCAACCCTCCTTTAAACATGCCCCACATCCATTATCAAGGCCTAGGTCCTTCTCATCCCAGCCTCTCTCCTTTTCTCCTCCTTTTGATGGCCCATACAGCTTTCCCTGAAACAAGTTCTATATTACTAGTGTAACCTAATCTATGTATATGCACACACACACTTTCTTCCATACCTTTGCCATCCTTTCCTTTGACAATTGCCAGGCCTGTCTTTTCAGGCAGATGCCTGGGATGATTCACACAACCAAAGGGCTAATCTGGCTCAAACTGCCTGGGTCTGGCTGAAGCCGCCTGAAGGACCCTTTATTGACCTCTTCATGGACTTTTCTCATTATACTACTAAAATCTCCCAGGGGTTTTTAGAGATTTTCCACCATTTTTGAACATGCGATGTACGTATAGGCATGTTTGCTAACTGCGCAGGTGAGGGAACGTCCCCACCCATACATGTGATGATGAAGCTTACCTTGATTCATGAATGATTTCCCTGAATAAAGACAAATCCAGTCCTTTGTTTGGGGACACACTGCTCTGAGAGCAACCCCCAGTTGTGTTCTTCGCATGCTGGCTTGCAACAAAGTTCCTTCTCATAAAATCTTCTCGGAGTTGTCTTTTGGCTGGCAACTACTGAGTAATTGGACCCAGTTTGGGTCTGGTAATAATAGGTGTTACATAAAAGTGAAAAAGGAAGGGTACCCACATGTTTAAGAAATACTGGCTAAACCAAATCTACAAGTCAAAGTTTGTCTAGATAGCTAATAGACCATTCTACTCAGCTTTGAAGATCTTACTTTAAGATCCTTAAAGGTAACCATTAAACCACATATTCTTAGGAGATGAATTCCACATGGCTTTCAAACACAAGTGGTTTAACGGCATTCTTTGATAGAGGTGAAAGTGTGAAAAATTTTATTAACATTCAATTTTAAAAGCTTTATACCTGTGTTACACCAAAATATACGAGTGCTGCTTCTTAAAGAAGTTATCCTTCAGGGTGTAGTCCCTGGTTTAGAAGTTGTGGAGCTTTGGCATTTCTATGTTAACTGCTTTAAGAATTCATGATCTTGGTCCAAGGATCGTAATATTGTGCAATTTTCTTCTTCCTTCAGGGGAGAAGAGACACTATTACACCTCCAGGCTCTCAACACATCATTACCACCCAACTGACTCCTTAACATCTTCTGTGGATTAGAATTTGCTCTAAATTAGCCTCGAGGCTTCCTTAGAGGAGAATTTGGAAGAGGGAAGTATTGAAATATTTCTTGAGATGGATCTTAAATGCAGTTTTTTGGTGTGTGTGATAAAAGATACATACCAGAAAATTTAACATCTTTGATCATTTGTAAGTGGACATGTTCAGCAGCGTTAAGTGCATTCGCATTGCTGTGCAACCACCACCATGCATCTGCAGAACTTTTTCATCTTTCCGAACCCAAACTCTGTACTCATCAAGCAACTCCCTTTCCCCTCGCCCTCTCAGCCCCTGGAAACCAACACTCCACTTTCTGTCTCTATGAGTTTGACTACTCTAGGTCCCTCACGTAAGTGGAATCATACAGCATTTGTCATTTTGTGCCTGGCTTATTTTTAAATGCTTTTTGATACATAGAATACTAGCCTTACTGGAAGGATACAGTGGGTGTAGCTGTCACTTCTAGATCAGAAGTTTTTCACCTGGAGCCCTTAGACGAGTCCTATGGATACAAACCCTATTTAAGGGACAAGTCTCCTAATTATAAGGTTTTCATAAGAGCTTTACATTCAAAGTATGCTAGTCACTGCTCTGGGTCTTCTCTGCTTTGAGAGCATCCTCTTGGTTCCAAACCAAGATTAGCTGCCTCTGGTTAGCACCAACCACCACCTTGGTCACATTTATTGTATGGCTCTGGGTTTTGCTGATGAATCAAGTTTGACACCTAACAGTATCACTCACTCTATAAATCTCGAGCTCCCATGTTGATCTGGCCACATACAAACTTTGAGGTCACCTTCCTTACATGAAAAATATCTACCAAAAATGCAAATCAAAACCACACTTAGATACTACTTCACAAACATTAGAATGCCTATGATAAAAATAAAGAGAAATAAGTACTGGTGAAGATGCTGAGAAATGGGAACCCTTGTGCCCTGCTGGTAGGAATGTAAATTGTGTATCCACTATTGATAACAGTAGGTGGTTCATAAAAAATTAAAAATAGAATTACCAAATGATCCAGCAATTCCACTTCTGGGTTTATACCCAACAGACTTGGTAGCAGGAACTTGAATAGATATTTGCACTCCCAAGCTCATAACAACAGTATTCACAATAGCCCAAAAGTAAAACAACCCAAGTGTCCATTGATAGGCTAATGGATAAACAAAATGTGATATATCCATACACTGGAATGTTCTTTGGTGTTAAAAAGGGAAGACATTCTGACATATACTACAACACGGATGAGCCTTGGGACATTACGCTAAGTGAAATAAGCCAATCACAAAAGGACAAACACTATATGATTCCACTTAAATGAAGTACTTAGTCAAATTTACTGAGACAGAAAGTAAAAAATGGTGGTTACCAGGGTCTGGGGAGGGGGAATGGGAGTTAGTGTTTAATGGATATAGAGTTTGGTTTGGAAAGATGAAAAAGTTCTGAGATGGACAGTGGTGATAGTTGCACAGTAATGTGAATGTACTTAATCCCACCAAATGTTCACTTAAAAATGGTTCAAATGGTACACATTTGATGTTATGAATATTTTACCACAATAAAAAAAGTTTTAAAAAATGTTTAATGTTATCCAATCATTATTCCCAGCTCCTGCAGAAAACTTAAAAGGCTTTTGTAGAGTTCATCCCCAAACACTGTATTATAGAAAGAGATAAAAAATGCAGTAAACAGCAAAATGGTTTTTCAAAAGCTGGGCCTGCCTTGGTTGTCTGCATTTTTTTCAATAAAATGCCACTTTAATATCATATCCCTTCCTGTACTACTGCCCTCCCCTAAAAAGAGTCAAGTAGGAAAAAAAAAAAAAAGGAATATTTGAAACCAGAGGCAACAGGGCAAATGTCTATTAGAAGTTTCCAGGGATTAGAACAGTTTCCAGGAGCCAGAAAGCTGCTGCTCGCAGGCGGCCCATACACCACGGCTGGGGGAGCAACTCAGCTCAGTCCCGAGAGAAGCCACCTGTCTGAGCACCTGCCAGCTGATCACCTGCTGAAGTGGCCCACCAGGGGGTATGGACGCGGCTTCACACTTGAAGTCACCTACCTCAGGAAAGTAGTTCTCAATGATGCTCAGAGCAGTCAGCGCAACATGATGATTCTCGTGGAACTGCAAAGCCTTGATTCTATCAACCCCACCAAGTTCCTCGATCAGAAGACACAGGTTTTCCTTCTCGGAAAGCTTCGCTGCTGCCTGGGGGCAAGAGGAGAGAAAGTGACCAAAGGCTCCCGGTTCCCGAATGGGCAGCTGCAGCTTCATTTGTCCCAAATCCATTTAGACTTGCACGGTCTTCCTCCCACTTTGCATACTTACGTTATATGTACTTAGGTTTTTTCTTCATTGAAAAAATACAGTATTTCTTTTGCTGAAGATGCTGCCTGCCATCCATAAACACATCGCTACCACTGTTTAGCAGATATCCCCCTTCTAATGAATAGAAATTATTTTGATATAGAACATTCAAGTAATGCTACATAAATACAGATGTTCTGGCCCTGCACGCCCTGAAAGCCTTGAAAGGTGAGAGGGGAGACCCTCAGTAACAAAAGCCACACCATGGCAAATAATGAAGTCCCTGGAAACGAATAACTTGAGAGGATTTAACCCAATGCTGCTCATGGGATTTACCATCCAGGGCTATTCATTCGCTCACACACATGAAACTGAGATACAGATGTGATTCAGAGAAGGCCTAGAGTAAGCAACTCATACGCTCAGGAGAGACAAGTAAATAATTGTTATGGTGTAGAAAGTATAATCTAGTAAATGATCAGAGGTTTAAATTATAGACGATATGCACGGAAGGCTTGGAAAGTAACACAAGTTCTTAATGAACAATACTGTGCGGGCTCAGTCATAGGGTAATGACATTCCCAAAAGGAGGAATGGCGAGGACTGGCCGGTGTGGTTCAGTGGTTGAGTGTCAACCTATGAACCCAGAGATCACAGTTCGATTTGGGTCAGGGCACATGCCCGGGTTGCGGGCTTGATCCCCAGCAGGGCGTGTGCAGGAGGCAGTCGATCAATGTCTCTCTCATCATTGATGTCTCTCTCTCCCTCTCCCTTCTCTCTGAAATCAATAAAAACATATCAAAAAAAAAGGAAATGGCGAGGATGAAGTTTTGAAGGAATAAGAGCTGCATGTTATGAGAAGAGGGAATAGTTCAGCTAAACAGCATATCTGGGGGAAGTGGAGGAAGGTGAAAAACCTTTGCTGTCATATCTGGAAGGGTTCTGCTCGCTATTTCGTGAGCAGTAATAAAAAACCTCCTATGGGTCAAACTGAATTTTTTGGGCCCCATTATTTACCTGATGACAGTTTGCACTGTATGCCTAAGCCCTGATATGCTCTAGTCCTGTGAGTGACTGGATTTGGGTGAAGAAAGTAGGGCAGGAATCAACATGCTAGGTTAGCCTCAGAAAGAAAACTGGAACGTGGGCAGCAGGAGCCCCGGCCAAGGATTTGGACCCTTAACAGCAAATGGCCCCAAAGTTACTTCAAAGAGCCTCAGCTACACCTGCTGCCTATTTGAACTCCTTCCCGTCTCGATCTTTCTAACCTACTGAACCAAGCACCTCTAGATGATCCAGGGCCTGCACTGGTCGGTCCACCAGACGGGGTTTGCCCAGACTCTCCCGAGAAAGAATCCCAAGTGTTTAATTTAAATGAAGCCGGTGAAGTAAAACTTCTAGAGCCCAAATTTGCTTTTACAAATTTGTTATGTTCAACTTAGGCTGTTGGCCGCCAAGTCTCTACTCACGGTCTGTGTGATTTGCTCAAAGTCTCAGTGCCTAGTTGGGCTGTGTTTCAAATCTGTTCTTGAATCAGGTCAGTTTTTTCCAAGACAGTCACATGAAAAGGGTGCTTAAAGTGAGTTTTCAAAAGGAGTTCCCTCATGTTAGTTTGAAACTTCTCAAAAGGCTTAGTTGTATATAAAATACCAGGTGTATATAAATAGCCAAGATGGGCCCAGGTGGTCCCTGCCTCCTAGTATTCGTGCCCTTGTGTTGGTGTGAGCGTTAACCAGGGCAGATGTGTGTAACCACTGGGTGTTATTGAAATGACCTCCTTTGTAGGCCATAAGAGACACAGGGGCTTCCACCCGGCTTTCTTAGATTACTTGCTCCAGAGGAAGCCGGCTGCCATCACGTAAGGACACCCCAGCAGTCCCAGGAGAGGTTTTGTGTGGTGAGAATAACTTGGCTGGCACATGAGTGAGCCATCCTGGAAGCCGATCAAACTTTCAGACGAGACTAAAGCCCCCAAATGACATCTTGAACCTCATGAGAGACACTGAGCCAAAACCATCTAGCTAAGTTGCTCCCAGATTCCTAACCCAATAAATTATGTGAGATAATAAGTGTTTAAGTCACCAAGGGGTAATTTGTTTGCAGCCATATAGAACTGAGACAAATAGTATAAAAAACAGTGCCTTAGCTTCCCTTTCTTTCAGAAATAAGACTTTTCTAGAGTTATAATTCAAGGCTCTGTAGTCTATTTTCTTAGCCATGCAGATGAATGGAAAAGGAACTCTAGTCTGTATTCTTGCCGCTCCTTCCAGGATATCCGATGTTTCAGCTTTCTAAAAGAGCCACCCATGTGGCCGTCTTTTCCCTCCTTCAAATCTTCAGTTGGTTTCTTCAGCTCACTCAGATAAGTCGAAGTTCTCACAGACCTTCTGTGATCTGGCGCCTGGGTGCCTCGAGCCTGCCCTCCCACCACCTTCCCTCTGCTCTGGCCACAAGACTCACTCGCTTCTGAGGCTTTGCTCAACGGTTATTCCTCAGAGAAGTTCTTCCTGACTACTGCACCTAAGAGGTCACCGTCCCCTCGCCACTCTGAGCTGCAGTGACCACCTCTTTGTCTGCTATATTTATCTATAACTCCCTCCCTGTGTCTGTTCCCCTCCCCACTACTACATATCCTCTGAGAGCAAGGACCTTGCCCTGGCCACGTCCTGACCACCTAAAACAGTGCTGGGCACAAGACACTCATGTGACAAAGGTAACCTACCTTCTTTGCAAGGCCTCGCGTTGCTGTTATCCGTAGGATGGATGCACAGAGGGAGGAGGCAGGGGAGTCGGGAAGACAGAGAATCCTACTTGGGTTTTAAGAACCAAATTAAATGGCTTAAGTTTGGAGACAGCTATTTAGAAACCGACCTGCTCAGAACAGCTCACCTGGAGGAGAAAAGAGATGATGTCAAGGATGATGATAATAAATTTGATGTCTGGGATGGTGAGCAGTTTCACCAGGGGCTCCAAGACTCCAGAGTGGACAAGCTGGATCAACTGGTCCATGGTGCCCCCAGTTGTAAAGTTAGCCACTGTCCAGACAGCCTCTTTCTGGACTTTAAAATCTCCCTGCAGAAAGAGAACATTTACATTCTGTACGGATCCTGAAGAACTTAAATATAGTAATGCTAACTTGGTTCAGTTTCTAGATAGGCTGGGGACAGCCAGGACTAAATGTGCAATTTACATAGAACACCCTGGGGACTTGAAGCCTAAAAGGAGGCAAGCAGACTCATATGGGGTTCTAGAGGGAGGTTCTAAGTTCAAACAGCCTCGTTTCATTAACTCAGGCTATAGGAAAAATAGAACCAATACAAACCAATCTAGGTAATCAATATAGATTAGGAATTATGCTTGGAATTTTAGGTTATAGTGGCCTGTGTCTACATTTCTAGTCTTTCTGCCCTAATAAAACTTTGGCTAAGAAGTGCTATAGCTACAAAGTTAAGCACACAAATGTGATCTTGGTGACGGAGACAGCCCAGAGGTTACAGAGGAAGGCCACTGAAATATCACTCAATGCATCCCTTACATTTATAAAAGGCATTTTTCCAGAGATATGGGAGTAAATGATTATGGATCCTACTGTCCCTGGGCAGAAGAAGTTATTCCCATTTTGTGGCTGGGGAAAACTGTGACCACAGTTTAAAACAAAAATAAAAAAACAAACAGCTTATGGCTCCAAGCAAGTTTAGTTCAGAAGGCAGTTTGAAACAAGATTACTTCTTGATTCATGGCTAGATGTTTCTTACTAGAGTACACACAGACTCACAGTAGAACACAGGTTAGGAAGTGTCTAATAGCTTGGAAGATGCTATAATTTGGGTTGCACACCTGGCCTAGTTTCTCATACTTAATGAAAACCTGAGAATCCACCATCCAACCTCAGAGCAGAAACACCTAAACAGAAAAACATAGCTCATTCAGGAGAAGGTGGTGAAAAGAAATGCTGATAATAGTGATTGTCCTGGAGAAGGGAAGTGGAAATCAGGAGGAAAGAGGAAGCTTTGTTGTATATCTACTTTTATATTTGGATTTTCTGTATATATTATCACTTTCATCAATGTGATTTGATTCTGAAAAGGCCACCATTCTTCAGTGTATAATATCAGTATAACCGGATACGGTTTTCCTTCCAAAACAAAACAAAACAAAACAAAACCTCCCTCCTCTTTTGGCAAGTAAAAAGTGGATGGCACGTTGTTTTAACACTATTTACCAGCTCAAGATTTTTCTGGATATTCGAGCTGTGAGGCCACCTTTTCACTGAACAATGCTTGTTCAGTCATCTAAATTGTCCATGGGTTGTCCAAACAGGATGCCCCTTCCTTTTCTGGGGGGCAGTGGAGCCGGGATACTAATGTGTCATAGTTTTGTTGTGGTCTCAATTAATTTGCTTCTGAGCATGTGTGTGAGTTCCTGAAGGAGTTCAACACAGGGCCAGCTGGAAAGTAGCCTTTTGTCATAGACACTGAGTGTGCCACTTACATTCCTTAGCAGAGCCACCAAGGGAGGCAGAATGTTGCAAGCAATCAGCTGCTGGATGTGTTGGTGCGGCCCCGCAGCCACATTGCTCAGGGCCCAGGCTGACTCCTTCTGGATGGAGGACTTGGGGTGCAGCAGGAGCTGGGGCAGCACTGTCAGTATGCCCGCGTCAATGGCCACCTGGGTCTGGTCATCGGTTCCCGTGACGATGTTCCCCACAGTGCGGAGAGAGGGCGTCTGCAAGAACAAGGCTAGAAGTGTAATCAAGTACTGCAAATGCGTCACAGTGGAAGGCGACAATCATACAAGATCTGTGCCCTCCTAGACGTCAGGCGTGCTATGCCAATGGCTCTCTGGAAGCCTGTGACCAATGACGAGATCCATGACCCTTATTAATTCAGCACATTGGCGCCTGTTTATATAGCTTGAAGGTGCTTGCCAGCTTCCCAGCAGAGAATGAAGCAGGATAGAGGTGAAGGGGATACATTTATCAGGAAATGATGTTCCTGCCCGCAGGCGTGGCTCAGCGGCTGAGCATCGACCTAGGATCCAGGAGATCGGGGTTCGATTCCCGGTCAGGGCACATGCCCGGGTTGCGGGCTCGAGGCAGCTGATCAATGACTCTCTCATCATTGAGGTTTCTGTCTCTCTCTCCCTCCCTCCCTCTCCTTCCTCTCTGAAATCAATAAAGATATATTTAAAACAAACAAAAAAACCCAATCAGAAAAAAAGAAATGATGTTCTCCCTTTTATATCCTTACATTGGGAAAACGGCTAAGTTGATTGTAGTGTTTATAATGTAACAATATCTATTGAATTTATATTTAGCACCAGAGTCAAGTTTCTGTTGTATATATTATTGGAGCTAATGAGATCCCAATGGCATTTTTAAAATATATTCACAAACCCCCTCTCAACAATTCTGAAGGGTTCCAGGATGGGTCTACGATTGGGCTCCAGACAACTGTCCTTGGTGGGTTGATTTTGGATTTATTTTGGTTCCTACAGACTTTAGTGAGAGATAACAGTTCTAGAATTTTCCTAGCCTATTATACTGGGTATCTGCTACTCATGTGAGAAGTAGTAGTGGTGCTATAGGCCAAGCACAGCCTTGCAGGGCCTGGCAATTTGCCCCCAAACCCCCAGGATAAGCAACTTCTTATAGATACTCTCTTCGCACTTCCAGGCTACCAGCACTCTCCCCAAACTCACCTTGACAGCTGAGGAATATTATGCTAATCTCAGAACAGATGATCACTAAGGCTGCATAATACATAGTATTAGGCATAGAAATCAAAAGGGGCACCCACATTTTAAAAGACATTTTCAAGAAGTATATTATGTAAGTGACATGTTTCATAACATAGCAAAGTATTTGGTATTGGTTTTACTTGATTTTCTCCTATATCTGAAGTAGTCTTAGAGAACAAACTGGGGAGAGGATAAGATGGAATTTTTTTTTTATACTTGAGTAAGAAATTCAAATGTTGCATGGGCTTTACATTACACACACACACACACACACACTGTCAGCCAGTTTGTTAACATCTACACACATAGACCACTAGAAGGAAAGGCCACAAAAGGATAGTTCACTGGGTGAAGGGATTATAGGCAATTCTAATTTGGTGCTCTCTATAATTTCCAGTTATCTGATTAAGAAAAAGTACGTTACTTAATACCCACTAGGATTTTGGATCAAGATAGATTCAAGTGTTTGGCTAGAGTAGCAGAAACCAAGGAAATGCAGACAATAAGCTTTGTTCTAGGTAAAGGTTGAGAACGGAGTGTGGAAACCAGGGGGTGGGGAAAGAACAGAACTTGCTAAAGTAAATATGACTCACAGCTCTAATCGGAAGGCCCAGAGACAGACAAGACCTGGGGCACTTACCAGGACATTGAGTTCGGAGCTGGTCATGAGCTGAACCAGCCTGGGCAGCACCCCGATGTCAACCACTTGGCCGATGCGCTCATTGGAGCCCTCGGTGAGGTAGGACAGGGCCCAGCAGGCGTCAGAGAGCACCTCGCTGTCCTGGTGCTGCAGGAGGTGCAAGAGCACCGGCAGCATCTGCTTCACGGCCCTTCGGCAGGGGTACGGGTTCTTGTTCCTGCACAGGTTGGACAGGGTCCACGTGATGTTCCGCAGAAATGTGATCTGTAACAAGAGGCTGCTTCTAGAATCAACCCGTGAATGCATAAATCAGTGAACAACAAATTGATGTTTCTCTCTCGCCCTCCCCTTCTCCCTCTCCCTTCTTCTCTCTCAAATAAATAATTAAAAAAAAAAAAAAAGACTTCTTCTAGCATCAGGTGCAAAGAAGAAAAAATGCAAAGGCCAGTGCATCCTTGCCATCATTGATCAATATTATTGACTAGCATGAGCCAAAGAATTTGAGCTACAAAAAGAAATTTGTTCTAGGTAGTAGTGTATACACAGGATGTCCCCAAAACATGCATACACACACTTTGAATAATTATAAAGGAATGTTTATTAAAATACATTTCATTTTCAGAATTGAGCTATCAGCTCTTAATGTGTGTGTACATTTTTTGGGACACCTGGTATACTAGGGACGCAGAGGATGAGCTTTATGCTGCCCATTCAAATGTTAGATGATTTCTTTATATTCTTCAAAATGTCCTTCCCCTCAACTCAACTGATGACCTAATTTCATTTTTCATTGGCCAAACAAAGGTAAAGCAGGGGTTCCTTGTTCTTTCCACGAGTCTATAACCAAAATGTCATAGCCACATTTCTGATCTTCTTTTCGAGGATTAGTCTTCCTACCTTGCCTCTGAATTCCATCACTTTTCACCTGTAAAGACTCTGTGCCCAGGATCACTCCTCTCTCCTGGATCACTCCCGCTGGTATAGAAACACACACTGTGTGACCTTCAACCCTTACCCTTGACACCTCTGCAGCCATCACCCCACTTCTGTTTTCCAGAGTCTATCCTCAAGGAGGCATCTGTATTTCACTATCTACCTTGTAGCTTCCAATCTGTGCTTCTACCCTCCCTAGTCTGGTTTCTGACCTACTTCTTTGTGGTTAGTGATGAAATCAGCTTCTTCCAAGTCACTAATCCCACAGCTGCTTTCTGTACTGTCCCTCTTGGTCATATTTAGCTGCCAGCTGTTCTCGTCTTGGCATCTGTGACACCAAGCCTGTTTTTTTTTTTATTGCTGTATGGGATGTTTCTCCTCAATCTTCTTGGCAGGCTCTGCCTGGCTTATGAATGTCAGAGCTCCTAGAACCTAGTCAGGGATGGGCAAACTTTTCTGTAAAGGGCCAGGCAGTAAAGACAGGAAATATTTTCAGTTCTATGAGCCCACAGGGTCTCTGTTACAACTATTCAACGCTGTCCTTGTAACACTACAAGAGTCACAGACAATTATGTATATAAATACATAAAGATTTGGGCATGGCTATACTCCAATAAAACTTTATTTACAAAAGCAAGCAGCTGACCCCTGCTCTAGTTGATCTTGCCCTGCTGGATGGCATATGTGTGCGCAAGTACCTAGACCTACATATCCACCTACTTGATGTTGCTGCAACAGTGCCTCTCACTCACTTCAACTTCATATGTACAACTAAGACTCTCATCCTTTCTCCCTCCATCTTTCCCATTTCTCTAGGAGGACAGTCATCTAAAAGAACCTAAGCCACAACCTGGGGCACCCTTGCTTCTTTCTGTCTCACATTCATGTCTAGCACAGCAGCATCCCAGGTCAATCTGCTTCACCATCTCCCTGTGCTACAATCCTCAGCAAGCAGCCAGGAGGGTCTTTCTGAAAGATCAGACCAGTTAACTTCCTGTCTTGAAATCCTCCAAAGGCTCCCTTTTGCCACCAGGATGTCCAAGTGCCTTGCCCTACCTTTCATATTACACTGCTTTCTCCTTGCAAACTCCCTTGGTCATGCCAGCCTTTCACTGATTCAACCATGTCAGGTTTTCTCCCGTCTTGAGGACTGGGTGTATATTTCCTTGGCTTTTGGAAGCTATTTTCTCTTCATTTTTAAAAAAGATTTTTAAATTGATTTTTAGAGAGAGAGGAAGGGAAGAATGGGGGGAGAGAGAGCAACATCAACATGAGAGCAGAACATCAGTTGGCTGCCTCCTCCACACCCCCCACCAGGATCGAGCCTGAAACCCGGGCATGTGCCCTGACTAGGAACCGAATCAGCAACCCTTCAGTGCGCGGCATGACACCCAACCAATTAAGCCATACTAGCCAGGGTTTCTCTTCATTTTTGTTTGAGGCAAAGGTAGAATCCGAATTTAATTTCTAATCCATGGAGTCCTCTATTGTTGCCACATCAATCGAATTTTTTTTTAAAATCCTCACCCAAGGAAATGTTTATTGATTTTAGAGAGAGAGGAAGGAAGAGGGAAAGGGAGAGGGTGAGGGAGAGAAACATCAATGTGAGAGAAACCCTGATCTGTTGCCTCGAGTACATGCCCTGATAGGGGATTGAACATGCAACCTAGGTCTGTGCCCTGACCAGGAATAGAACCCACAACATTTTTGGTGTATGGGACGACTTGCCAATCAACTGAGCCACCCAGCCTGGGTGCCACATTAATCACATCTAATCTTTAAACCTAAACCTTATTATCTAGGAACAGAACCAGTGAGCCACTGATTCTGTTTATGCCCCTTGAATGGTAGAGTTTAGTCATCTAATTTTGCAGGATTGTAAGTGGCAAATAATCTTAACAAACCTCTTCCAATGCTTTCAAAAGAAAGGTCAGCACTACTGCCTACTGAGGACAAATTTGGATCAATTTCTACCCAAAGTGATATTGTTCTAGGCCTTCTTTATAATTGCCATCATATGGGGCCAGACGGTGACCACATGACCTAGCATTGATTTGGAAATACTTCCTCAATTTCCCAGCTTTGGAACTTGTTACCAGCTAGGTTTTCTAATTTAGACACTCACTGGTATGGTTGATGAAATCAAGGCCAGTAGGCGTGGGATGGCATTGCTCGAGATAACAAAGTCTCTGAATTCTGGGCCGTCACCTACAAATAGGTAAGAACAGGACATTCAAAGAGGGAACAAAGAGAATCCTGGGATAGGTGACCAATTTTTAAAAGTCTGTGCAAAGGGTGAGAGGCCAAAACGCATTCCCGGGGTTGGGCAAGTAGAGTGTAGTCATGAACTTGATCCTGAGTCTTGAACATGTTGGCTGGGTGGATAGGCCTGGTGTGAAAGCAGGCCCCACACAGCAGCAACTGCCATAAGTAGTCTGTGGACCCATAAAGGAGCCAGCGAACTGGGCCCAGGCAGTGCTTTCTAAATGCTAATAGCATTTTACAGCATGGTTCTCAGGAAGATGAAGGCCACTGCAGACCAAACTGTTTTCACAGAAGACTGGCACAGGGGAGTAACTTCTAGAAGCAACTCATCAGAACAAAGTCTGGGAGATGGATAGGTGTTAGGCATCGGCTATCAGTGACTTTGACTAGAACACCATATTTCTAGACCCTTCAAGTTTCAGTTTGTAATTCTTCAACCATCAGGCAAGGCATAAGTTATATCATACAACTCAATTTTGCCTGTTCCTTACTGAACCACTCAAAATGAGAGACAAAGTCTCTGCAATAGGTGCTTTACTTCTGCAGGCATTTCAAAAGCAAACTCATTTTATATTCTGTTCTTGCTAATCCCAGTATCTGACGTCCTTGGGGGTCTAATCACACTGTTTCTGCTGACTCAGCCAGCTATTGTGGATTGTTGATTCTCTGGACTTGAAATTGCTAATATTTGGCTCATCTTACTTTGTCAAAATCCTGAGGGACCCAGTTGAGTTAGTTTCCCCCAGAGAGCATTATATTTATATTCAGCCAAGAATCAGGGACCTCCCAGCCCTGCAGCACTAAGTCCCCAGCTTTTGCTTTCCTGGACCCCACAGGTAATACAGCATCATCTCAAACCTATAAGGCCAGTCTTAGGATTGTGTTTTCAGGGGAGACTTTTACCCCAAGCTAAGAAAACACTGTTTTGTATGTTCCCTTGGCAACTTTCTCTGGAGGTAGTACAGCTGTCAAAACCCCCAATACTGCATAAGCCAAAAGCTTGTCCTTTTTTCCTGTAGCCATTAAGACCTAAGGGCATAAGGCTCGGTATTGGCAAATGTCCCTAGGTGACCTGTAGCTCAGGACATACTGCATTATCTGGTTATAGCTTCAATTTATGGCCCCTGAACTTGACTCTGAATTTTGGAAAAGCCTGTTGTACTTTCTTCAGCATTTCTAGGCATTTATACTTCAAGTGTCATGTCCACAATACTACCCAAAGGACTCCTATATCATGCCATGTGCCTGGCCCACTATCTTCTCAGCCCCCCAAATGGAGTCTCACCTGCTATGTTACCAAGGGCCCACACCGCCTGCTCACACACAGTCATGTGGGGGGAAGACAGGAGCTCCACCAAGGGCTGGATGGCGCCCCCTTCCACAACAGCTCGAGTCTGCTCGGATGTTCCTGAAGCGATGTTGGTCAGAGCCCACGCCGCCTCGAACTGCAGGCAGGGATGAAGCGATGACTTCAGGAACTCCACCAGCCTGGGAATGAGCCCTGCTTCAACGATCAGTTTTAGAGGAGGGTTCTTTTCCCGGGACAGTATTTTCCTTTGCAATGAAAGAGAAAAAGAAAAAAACCAAGTCTCATGAAGCAGGTATTAAGAACCTCCTTTATAGATGTTCCTGGCATTCCTAACTATCACATGAGACAAATAGCTGGGCCAGAGCCACTTAATATCCTAGAGTTCAGCCTATAGCACTTTGCAGTGATGAAGCAACACTTTCCCTTCAGGTATTATCTATCACGAAGACTCCTGTAGAGGCCAATTTAAATTAAGCAATTCATCTCTGACAACACTTGTATATCGTAAGTTGTTCTCAAGGACAGTGTAGAGGAGATACTGAGTCTCACTTTTGGATGGACTCGCCTTTTCTTATATTTTGTGGGCATTTTGCCACTGCCAAGAAACCAAATGGGCCATTGGAGCTCATTTCTAACTATGAACCTGTAAACAGCAGCAGTCTGGTGATACCTGGCTGCCTGGGTGGCCTGGAAACATAGGTCTGGATCTGAGGCATTCACACCATTGATTATTTCTTCCAGTGTGAGGCTGACCTGCAAGGAGACACACATTCAGGTCAGAGTCTCTGCTAAAAGGAACTGTGAAGGTCATCTAGTCTATCCATCTATCTGATTAGAACAGGCTGGCATGAAGAATATGTCTCAATCTGCACGCTGGTCTGTATTAAGGGAGAGAGGAATATTTGCTGGTCTCATAGGTCTCACACATCTCTGGGATGTTCCTCATGCTCTGGGGGAGAGGTGATTCCTATCATCGCTTGGATCCCCAGAACCTTTTTACAACTTGCAGTAAGAACATGCCAGTGGATGTCAGCAAAAATGAGAGAGTAAAGACCTCCAAAAATTCTCTTCTCAATAAAAGCAACAAGAAAACTGACAATAGTCAGAATCAACTTTTTCAGAACTCTAGAAACTAACCAAAGGCTTGCAGCAATTTGTTTTACTTAAGCTTAAAAGAGTTTATGCAAGAAAAAGTCTAGATCTCAGCCAGTGAGTACTGTGGCATTGTGCTTTGCCCTATTCCCAGCTATTCCCGGCTCAGTGCTAGCCCTGGAAACCAACAACTCAGTAGCCACTGGAGGAGGCAGAATGTGTTAGTGCTTTTCAAAAGTCTTATTCCCATAAATTATTATTTGACCTGTCTGGTAGTTTCCTGGGAGATCCCATTTGTAAGGTTTTCTGTATTTTATTTGACTCAGATATTACTCAGTGCAAAAGTCCCCCCCGTCCCCCCCGGGGGGCATTTATTTTAAGTAATTAGAGGAATTTGTTTAACTTCACAGTTGCTTTTAGAAAGAGAGGTGTTGAATAAGAGTTGGGGGCAAACAATAGACTAACCAAAAGACTTAAAAGGAAAATCTGGGGGATGAGATGTTCATTGGGGCTTTGAAAGCTCTGACATAGTCTTGAAAACCTAGAAGGCCATGTGCATGTATAGGCTGTGCACATGCTTACAAAAAACTGAGAAGTTCCTGAGCCCTCATCTCCAGCTGACTTTGAGGCTCTGTGCAAGCAGGAAGCGGAGGTTTAAGGCAGGGTTGTCAACTGCCTGGTGGAGTATTGAAGGCATGCCCCAACATGCACACCGAACTCCTTGGCAAAGACTGGGGAATTTTCGGTTCCAAGTATTTAAGGAAATCTGTTCAATCATTAGCTGGTCACTGAGCTAACTAAGCAGAGAACTCAGTGACCACACATAAAAGAAAACAGACTTTACAAAATTAGTTCAGAAGTCATTGAATAAGCAAACAATCAGCAACAACAAAAAAACATGGGCAAAAGGGCATCTGATGCCCAAAGCTGCCACATTATATTATTGAAAGTGACCATTGCCAAAGAAATAGCAAGACGTGCAAAATATGGCATGTACACGTGAAAAAAAATCAATAGAAACTGTCCCTGAGGAGCCCAAATATTGAACTTACTAGACAAAGACTTTAAATATGTTCAAAGGAGTTAAAAAACCATGCCTGAAACACACACACACACACAAACAAACAAACAAAAAAACCCATGCCTGAAGAACTAAGGAAAGTATGAGAATGATGCCTCACTAAATAGAGAATATTGATGAAGAGATAGAAATTATACATAAGAACCAACTAGAAATTCTGAAATTGGAAAGAACAAGAACTGAAATAAAAGATTCACTAAGGGTCTCATGGGGAGATTTGAATAAACAATCACTAAGCTTGAAGACAGGTCAGTTAAGATCAGTCTGAGGATGATAAATAAAAAAGAATAAACATGAACATTAACAGGTCCTTATGGCTCTGTGGGACACCATCAAGCATACCAGTATGTGATGCATAAAAGGATGAAAAGGAGAGAAAAGGGCAGAAAGTATATTTGAAGCAATGATTTCCAAAAACTTCCCAAATTTGATTAAAAAATAATCTACACCTTTGAGTAGTTTCATGAATCCCAAATAGGAAAAACCCAAGAGATCCACACATAGACATATAATCAAATTGTTGAAAGCAAAAAACAAAGAGAGCATCTTACAATCATCAAAAGAGAAGCAACTCATCATGCACCAGCCCTCAGAACAATTAAGAGTTGATTTATCACTAAAAAGCACAAAGCAGCAGAGTGACATATCTTAAATGCTGAAAGACTGTTAAACAAGCATTCTATATCCAACAAACTATAATGAAGAGGAAATTAAGACATACCCAGATAAACAAAAACAGAGAGAATATGTTGTTAGCAAATCCTCTGTATAAAAAGAGTTCTTCAGGTACTAAAAAGTAGACAATAATTAAAATTATATTTAAGAAATCAAGAACACCAGTAAAGATATATATTAGTAAGTAAAAAGACAAAAATACTAATGTTTTTTATTATAACATTTTTACATGATTTAAAGACAACTGCATAAAGCAATATTTATAAATCTATATTTATGGGCACACAATGTATAAAGAGATAACTTTTATGACAATAAGACTAAAAGGAAGTGGGAGGGAATGAAGCTATATAGGAGTAAATTTTGTATACTATTAAAATTAGGTTGATATTACTCCAAACTAGATTGTTATAAGTTAAGATGTTAAGTATCCCCAGGAAAAAAACTAAAAAATTAATTTAAAAAATAAAGCAAAAGAAACAGAAATTAAAATATTAAACTATTTAGCACAAAAGAGGACAGTAATGAAGAAATAGAGGCACAAAAAACATAAGACATAGATAATAGCAAAATGGCAGACAGAAATCCTATTTTTATCAGTTGCACACGTAAATACATTAAACATTCTCAATAAAAAGCAAGGATTGACAGAATGGATATAAAAATCATGATCCAACTGTAAGCTGTCTACAAGAGACACATTTTAATTTTTTTAAAATATATATCTTTATTGATTTCAGAGAGAGGAAAGGAGAGGGAGAGAGAGATAGAAACACCCATGATGAGAGAGTCATTGGGGATCGAGCCCGCAACCCGGGCATGTGCCCTGACCAGGAATCGAACCTCAATCTCCTGGATCCTAGGTCGCCGCTCAAACGCTGAGCCACGCCCGGGCGGGCAAGAAACACATTTTAGATTAAAAGGCAAAAATGGGTTGACAATAAAAGAATTGAAAACAATATAACCAAAGAGAGCTGGAGTGGGTATATTACTAGTAGATAAAATAAACTTTAAGACAAAAGTTGTTACTCAAGACAATGACATTTTATAAGTCAATTCATCCATCAAAAACATAATTATAAACATATATGCACCTATTAACAACCCCCAAAATACATGCAGCAAAAACTGACAGAATCAAAGAGAGAAATAGAGAATCCAACATAGACAGTTGGAAACATCAAACCCTACACTCAATAATAGATGGAACAACTATATACAATGGTACCTCGGTTTTCGAACGTCTCTGCTGACGAACATTTCAGTTTACAAACACCGTAAACCGGGAAATAAATGCTTCGGTTCTCCAACATGCCTCGGAAGTTGAACATGCCACACGGCTTCCGCTGAGGGCAAGATCCTGCGGCCCAGCTGTTGGCTGCTGATCCCTCAGGCTTTTAACGTTTCACAACTCGAAGGGTCTTCCGGAACAGATTACATTAGAAAACCGAGGTACCACTGTAGAATGTCAACAACTTCATAGAAGACTTGAACAGCACTACAAATCAGCCAGACCTAACAGACATCTAAAGTAAGGAATAGCAAAATACATGTTCTCTTCAAGGGCACATGGAATGCTCTCCATGATAGACCACGTGACATAAAACATGTCGACAAGTTTATAAGGACCACAATCATGCAAAGTATGTTCTCCAACCACAAGGGAATAAAATTAGAAACCAATAATAGAAGAAAACTTGGGAAATTCACAAATTTGTAGATGTTAAAAGACACAAAGAAGAAATCACAAGAGAAATTAGAAAATGCTTTGAGATGAATGAAACAAACACAACATAAAAACCTGATAAGATACAGCTAAAGTGGAGTTTAGCGGGAAGCATATAGCCATAAATCCATACATTAAAAAAGTAGAAAGATCTCAAATTCATAATCTAACTTTATACCTTAAAAAAAAAGTAGAGCCCTGGCCCATGTGACTCAGGTGGTTAGAGCATTGTCCTGTATACAGGAAAAAGGTGGTGGGTTTGATTCCCAGTCAGGGCACCAGAGTTTGTGGGTTTGATCCCTGTTGGGGTGTGTACGGGAGGCAACCGATTGATGTTTCTCTCTCTCTCTCTCCAAACTGCTCTCTCTAAAATAATAATAATAATAATAAATCAATAAAATATATACTCAGGTGAGAATAAAAGAACTAGAAAAATAAGAGCAACTAAACCCAAAACTAGCAGAAGAAAGAAAATATTAAATACTAGAGAGGAAAGAAATGAAATAAAGAATAGAAAAATGGGTGGGCAATGAAACCGAAAGTTGGTGCAAAAGATCAGCAAAAACAAATCTGCAGCTGGACTGAGCAAGAGAAAAAGAGAAGACTCAAGTGATTAAAACCAGGAATGAAATTTTAGTTTACTACTAAACTTACAGAAATGAAAAAAGATTAGAGACTAGATGAACAAAGTATGACAACAAATGAAGTTATCAAATAAGGGACAGGTTCCTAGGAATACATAAACTACCAAAAGTGACTCAAGAAGAAATAGAAAATCTTAATAGACCTGTAACAAATGAACCATTAATGAAAAAAAAAAATCCACAAAGAGAGGCCTAGGCCCAGACCGGCTTCACTGGTGAATTTTCCTAAACATTTAAAGAGGAATTAAAAGCAATCCATACTCTTCCAAAAAAATAGAAGATGAAGGAACTTTCTAGCTCATTCTATGAGTCTAGCATTACCTTGATACCAAACCAGACAAAGACATTACAAGAAAAAGTGCAGACCATATCTCTCATGAATATATATGCAAATATCCTGAACAAATTCTAGGAAACAAAATGCACCAATATATAAACAGGATTACATATCATGACCAATTGGGATTTAACTCAGGAATGTAAGAGTGACTCAACATAAGAAAATCAATATAGTATACTATATTAATAGAATATGGGGGGGAATCACATGATCATCTCAACAATGCATAGAAAGCATTTGACAAAATTCAGCAACCTTCTGTGATTAAAAAAAAATTTCAACAAACTAGGAATAAAAGGGAACCTCCTTAAACTGGATAAAAACATCTACAAAAAACCCACAGCTAGCATCTTACTTAACAGTAAAAGATGGAAAACTTTCCCTCTAAGATCAGAAACAAGACAAGGATGTCCACTCTTATTACTTTTATTCTAGTATTGAAAGTTTTAGACAGGGTTATTAGGCAAGAAAAAGAAATAAAAGGCAACCATATTAGAAAGGAAGAAATAAAACCATCTCTATTTGCAGATGACTTCATCTTGGATGTAGAAAATCCTACACACAAAAAAATTTAGAACAAACAAGGTTTAGCTAGGTAGCAAAATTAACATATGAAAATCAATAGTATTTCTATATACTATCAATAAACAGTCCAAAATTAAGATTAAAAAACAATTTTATTTACAAAAGCATCAAAGAGAATAAAATAATATTTGGGGCCCTGGCTGGGTAGCTCAGTGGGTTAGAGTATCATCCTGATAGGTCATGGTTGAGGGTTTGATCCCCAGTCAGGACACATACAAGAATCAACCAATGAATGCATAAATAAGTGGAACAACAAATCAATGTTTTTTCTCTCTCTCTCTAATCAATAAAAAACAAAAGAATAAAAAATTGGAGAATAACTTTAAATTTAACAAACATATAACACATATGCTGAAAATTGTAAATAAATTTAAAGAGGACCTAAATAAATGTAAAACTATCTCATGCTTATGAATTGGAAGACTTAACATTGTTAAGATGGCAATACTCCACAAATTGATCTATAGATTCAATGCACTCTCCATTGAAAGCTGAGCTGAGTTTATTGAAAAAATGGACAAATTGGTTCTAAAATCTGGATCTGGAAAAGCCAAAATAATCTTAAAGAAGAAAAACAAAGTTGGAAGACTCACATTTCCCAATTTCAAAAATCTACTACAAAGCTGCATTAATCAAGTCTGTGTTGTTCTGACGAAAGGATAAACATGTAAATCAATGGAATAGAATTCCAAGACCACAAATAAACCATTGCATTTATGGGCAATCAATGTTTGACATGCTGTTAGGAACATTCAATGGGGAGAGAATAGTCTTTTCAACAAATGGTGCAGGGACAACTGGATATGCACATGCAAAACAATGAAATTAGACCCATCGTAATGTACTTATGCCATTTACAAAAATTAATTCAAAATGGACCAATGACCTAAATATAAGGGTTAAAACCACAAAACTCTTAGGAAAAAAACAAAGGATAAGTCTTCATGACCTTGGATTAGGCAATGGGATCTTAAATATGATACCTAAAGCACATGCAGGCAAAGCAAAAAGTAGATAAATTGATCTGGCCAGTGTTGCCTAGCGGTTGAGCATTGTCCCAGTCAGGGCACATGTCCAGGTTTTGGGCTCAATCCCTAGTAGGGGGTGTGCAGGAGGCAGCTGATCAGTGATGTTTCTCTCTCATTGATGTTTCTCTTTCTCTCTATCCCTCTCCCTTCCTCTCTCTAAAAATCAATAAAAACATATTTTTTAAAAGTTCCTTTAAAAAAAGTAGATAAATTGGACTGCTTCAAAATTAATAACTTTTATGCTTCAAGGATTCTATCAAAAAAGTGAAAAGGTGACCCATAGAATAGGAGAAAATATTTGCAAATCTTATACCTGGTGAGGGTCTATTATCCAGAATACACAAAGAACTTTTACAATTCAAGAATAAAAAGCCGAATTCCTTAATTTTAAAAATGAGCAAAGGGTTTGGATAGACATTTTTCCAAAGAAAATAAACAAACAGCCAATAAGCACATGAAAAAATGCTCATTAGTCATTAGAAAAACATATCAAAATCAGAACAATATAGCCCTTCGCATGCTCTAGACGGCTATCGTCCCAAAATGGACAATACCAAGTGTTGGTTAGAATATCAGAATGTACAATGGTGCAGATACTTGGGAAAACAGTTTTCCAGCATATTTCCGATTGCTGCATATTTGGAGGCTTAAAACAACACAAACTTATTCTCTCACAGTTCTGGAGGTCAGAAGCTCATAATCCGTGTCACTGGATTAAAGCTGTGGTGTTGGCAGGGCTGGTTCCTCCAGGACGCTCTCAGGGGAGAATCTGTTTTCTTGCCCTTTTCAGCTTCTAGTAGGGCTGCTGTGTTCCTTGGCTTGTGACCGGTTCCTCCTTCAAAGCACAGCACACTAATCTCTACTCCTGTCATCAAATAACCTTCTGCTCTGACTTGTCCTTCACCCTTATTATAATGATTGATGTGATTACACTGGGCCCATCAGATAATCAAGGATAATCTCCCCATCTCAAGATCCTTAACTTAATCATGTCTACAAAGTCTCTTTCATCATATTAGGTAACAGCCATAGGTTCTGGGATTAGGAGATGGAGACATTTGTGGGAGGACATTATTCAGCCTACCACAGGCAGATCCTCAAAGAGTTAAACATAGAGTTACCATAGAACCCTTGGGTATGTACCCAAGGGAACTGAAAACATATTCCCATAAAAACTTGTACACAAATGTTTATAGCAGCACTATTCACAATAGCCAGAATGTAGAAACAGCCCAACTGCCCATCAACTAATAAATGGATAAACCAATTGTGGTATATCCATACAACGAAATATTATTCAGCCATAAAAGGTATGAAGGACTGACACCTGCTACAACATGGCTGAACCTTGAAAATATTATGTGAAGTAAAAGAAGCCAGGCATGGAAGGCCACATATTATATGATTCCATTTATATAAAATATCCAGAATAGGTAAATTCAGAGACAGAATGTAGATTCATAGTTACCAGAAAGTAGGGGGAAGGAGGACTGAGTGACTGCTTACCGGGCATGGGGTTTCTATTTGCAGTGATGAATATGTTCTGAAATTAGCTAGTGGTGATGGTTGTACAACTTTGTGAATATACTCAAAAACACTGATTATATGCTTTAAAAAGGTGAATTCTGTGGTACATGAATTATATTTTAGTTTTTTTAAAAAGGCATAGCAATATAGGATAAAAAGGAAAACAACTCTTTCCTTTCATAGATTCATCTTTCTTGGAGTGGGGGACTCTCAGGGACTATTCTAGAAGAATGAAGCTAACTAGAGGTACAGTTTAGAGTCCTATAGCAGTTCAGAGAATGGCTACAGTCCCTCTGTTCGATGGCTGGTAACACATCAACAAATCCCCTTGCCTGGATCGAGCCACTCTCTGCCTCTAAGAGCAGAGTGCAGTGATGACACACAGTGTCGGATCACAAAAGGCTCGTAGATCTGATGCTATTGGAGTTCTAAGAAGGGAAACCTCCTGGTCAGGGCATTCTGGAAAAGACCACAAAAACTAGTATTGGCCTGGAAGTCAACCCAGGATTTGTATCGAGCGAGGTTAGGGTGGATGGAGAAGGGAAGACAGAAGGCAGCATTCAAGTCCTGGGCAAGACTACGTGTTGAGTAACTAGATGCCTCTGCTGAGAGGTAACCTTCATGGCCCCTCATTCCCTGTTTCTGGCTGAGTGGCAGCAAGTGAATTTTCAATTAGAAGCAGTACTTCCCCCCCACTAGAACCCAGATCCCAGACTCACAGCCACAAAGATAATGACCCTTAGCTTTCTGACGACCCCAGTTTAGCTCTAAACATAATCTCTCCACCCCTTTCTTTCAAGACCCTCGATTAGAGCTTGCAAGTTCTGAATGAAACATTTCAAGCCAGAGAAATTTACCAAGGTTATATTTTACACACAACTGCTCTAAACACCACATTCCCAACATACCCCTTTGGTCCCTTCTTCAGAAGCTGGGTCAGGGGAGAGGTTGGTGATATTTCTTCTCTTTAAGACCTGCTCATCTTTCTTGGCCTTTCGGAGCTGCACGCTCACTGCTATCCGCTGCTGTCGCCTCATCTAGTGAGGGAAAGAAAGTTGGTGCACTTAGAGCTGGGAAGTTAGGCTGTTAAATTAGCCTTTAGAACACACTTAAAGCATCTGATTTCACTTTACAGATTTGACAGGCTGGAAGAATTAAAATCACACAGCTAGTAAATAGTCCCAGCTCTGTCGACCTCCTCTGCTTTCTTACACCATATCTAGAAGAATAGTCAGTCTTCCTCCCAAAGTAAAGGAAGATCACATATGCCTTCAGCCGACCAGGATTCTCAGCAGTAGAGACATCTGAGCAAAGTGTCCTGTTGCACTGAGACATCTTCACTGGTGCTGATTAGTTCCTGAAGGGCAGGCCTGGGCCTTCCAACTATGGGGATCCAGTTGGGCTATGAATGGGCTGCTCAGGCCCAGATGTCCCTGATCATTCCCACTGTTAGGGAATCACTCTCTAGGTCATTCAAATCTTAATCCAGTCCCAAGAGTTTTACTTGGACACCAGACTGAGGAAGATTAAAATTTAAAATAAAAACAACCCTTTTCTCATATCAAGCAAAACTCAGACTTTATAGTATTGAGAATCCTGGAGAAATGATCTAACCTATATGGATGGAGGAGTTTTAGGTTGAAGACTTTCTTGATTTAAGAAAATTTACATGTATTAGACACTTCTGGTTCCTTAAACAAGCCATGTAATTCTTGCTGGATAGGGTCACTGTGATGTTAGATGGCAAGGCAGGAACACCTTTGGGCCCACCGAGCCAATTGCACTGTTGCCCCATCACTAAGTGGCCCCTCCCTGCGTTTTCTCCCTTGTCTCATCTCCTGGCCCTTCCTGCTGCTCTTCACACAGAGGGTTCAATTCCTTTGTTCTAACTGGTTTCCTTTAATCTACACTGGTCTTGAAAGCCAGATAGCCATGCTTGTTGGAAAGGGTGTAAGAGTGATAGTACCCTAACCAAGTGGCTTCTCCCATCCTCAGCTGTCTTTCGGATTCCCAAGGTGTACCCAACTTTGTGTGATATCACATAGATATCACACTACATAGATGTGTGTGATCTACTACATAAAACTACATAGATGTAGGACACAGAGCTAGAGCCAGAAAATTGAGCCCAGAGAAACTGAATGAGAGTTAGAATCCACACACAGCTCAGGCGCCCCACCCCAGGCCCTCATGCTCAGCCCAGCAGTTAGAAGAACAGTCTGGACTTTTCATTTCCAAGTCTTATTTCTATAAGGCATGCTTGTTGGCTATACTGTATTCCAAACATTTTAGCTTCTTGGTAAGCCTACTTGACATGAGTGGCTGCAGCATCTATATGCCAGGCATTTGACACTGTTATCCAGTCCCTGAGAGGGAGGTATCAACCCTGTTTTTTATAGATGAAAAAACTGAAATAGTCCTAAGATCACATGGGAACCTTGATTTGAGTCCACAGTTGCCTGTCTCCTAAGTCCTTGAGCTTTTGCCCTCCTCACTCTTGATATTTTATTATGAAAATTTCAAAGAGAAAAGTTGAAAGAATTATTTGGTGAGCACCCACGCACCTATCCACAATGAACATTTTGCTGTATTTGCTTTTTTACTCCCTTTCCCCACCCTCCGCTCTATATTTGATGCATTTCAACCATGTAGTTTTACTGCACTAGTCCTTGAGAGAGTGAAGCTCTTGCCTCATACTTACAGATGCGTCTTTGCCTCGGTACTTAAACTTCCTCAGCCTCTCTTCTGGAGCTTCTAAAGTTGGCATATTGACTGGAAGAAGTAAACCACCTGTAGGTAGAACAGTTACAAAGAGATTTTCAGTGTCCAGTGTGTGTGTTACTATGTTAAAGCCACCCAGGTTCTAAGCCCTTAAAGGCTCACAGTGGAATGGAGAGACTCAGGAAGTCCTCTCCCATAGGCATCACTACACCAGGCGATGAGCACTGTGGGAGCTCAGAGGGGACCAATAGATGGAAGGGACACCTTTTAGAGGCAGTTTGGCTTGAGTTGGGCCCTTGATAGCTAGGGTAGGCTAGAAATAAAGCGCTGAACCCTTCCATGTGGCTGTGTCCAAGGAGTCCTACACAGATTGTATGTGTAGGACAGTAAGGAATCCAGCCAGGCTATGATAGGAGCATGGCCCTCTCTTCCCACACCCAGGCCACCAGTTTTTTGGGTCAGGACAGTCTCAAATGTAACCCACTCCTTTTAATTCTTTAGCAGACTGCCACCACTATCTTTCACTCATACTATGGCAATTGCCTCCCAATGATCCTTCCCGCTTCTACCATTGCTTTATTCTAATCCATTCCTACATAGAAACCATGTGATCTTTTAAAGACAAGAATCTGATCATGTAATTTCTCCCACTTAAAAACCCTCTACTGGCTGCCCATTGATCTTAAAAGAAAACCTAAACTCCTGGTGATGCCTTGAGTGAGCTGTCCCCAGCCCACTCCCTCTCCAACAACTCTTTCCCATCCAAGAATCTAAGTACCTTCTCAGTCTATTTTATTTTCTCCATAGCTCTTCACCACCACACAATATTTTCTTGTTTATTGTGCGTCTTCCTCCCCACTACTCCCAATGACAACAGGACCATGTGTGTCTTATGTACAATTTTTCAGGCCCTTCACAATGCATGGCATATAGTAAGTAGGTACTTAAATATTTGTTGGATGAAGGTGGTGGGTGATAAGGTCACAAAGGGTATTGACCCTCAATTAGAGAAGGTTATTAAAATCAGGCCAGTTTGAACTTTCTACAAGGCTGCAGGGAATGACATTTCTTAAAAGTGTGTAATGAATATCTGTTTCCAAGTATACAGGACGGGCAAGACAACACTATAGAAAAGAGAAAGCTAGACAAAGAAGACCCGAGTCTATTGACTCTATTCTTGAGTGTGTAACAGCTGAGAATAATTTTGGCAGGAAGGACTAATTTAGACATACCAATTTGGAAGGATAATGTAGACAACTTGAAGAATTCCATAAGTGGGTAGAAAGCCAAGACTGACGTCTTAAGAAGAGATGAACTCTATGGGAGAGCAACACAAGGACTGTGTCTTGGTGATACTCATATTAAGGCCCAAGAGAACCAGCCAAAGACCAGGAGAAAGAATGGAACTGGAGACAGAACAACAGAACAGTTTCAGAGGCTCTACTGAAACAGCCAGCTACTAGGTAACGGCCAGCTACTAGGCCAGGGACAAGTCTCAAGACCAAAGCACTACCAGCCATCCACAGCAAGACAGGAGAACATGTTGACTGAGGCTTTGTTGTGGTGACTTTGCCCGTTTTAAAGCATTAGTCTCTTTGGGAGCTTGGGCAAGAATAGCATACAACTTGTCTGCACATCTGCAAATGGAAAACGCAAATGACTTCCTGGAATTGACCAATCCCTCTGACAACCCCCAGGACAGCTCCAACGGGAGAAGTGGAGAGCGACAGAACGGTTCAAAGGACATTAAGGACGTTTTCAACCATTCTGCTGACAAGGTCATGGTGGCCACTTCCCCAATCCCCACCCCCCATGCAGAGTAGAGGGGCCTCTGTGACATCCATAGTCCTTCAGTTGCTGTATATTTAGCAGGAGAAGCACCTCACAGACATTAGCTTAGAACAATCTCAGATTTTAGATTAATTCAATTAAAAGTTCAAGCTGGAGGCAGATTTACCTCCATCAACACATCAGAAGCCAGAATATCAGAAAGAGAAATGTACTGCAGGACAACTTCAGCCCTGGAAGCTCAGGCCAGAGCTTAACTATGTCAATATCCTCTCATCTATTTTTAAGTAATCTCAAATTGTGCCCCATAAAAAGAAAAGAGTTGCTTTTTGACCAAAAGGTAAATCATTGCCATTAATTATGACCCTCTTTAAAAAATCATCTCAAAAGAGTTTTCTAGTTGCTGTAATAACCAGTTTCAAGAGGATTATCAGTGGGAATCTGAGATTTGGGTTTAATGAGAAGCTATATCCTACATCTTCAAGATAGAAGACATATGGCATTTTATAAGTCTGGAGTAGACTAGTATTATGTGCCCATTTCAGGGAGCAATGGCCCAAACATATTGATTACATTCCAGGATTGTTGGACACTTACAATTAAACGAAGCAACATTCATAGTTAGGTAGAAATAGTTCCATTTCATAGGTAGGGAAACCATCTCCCACATCATTTCCCACAGAGGCCCAGAGTTCCTATAGCTGTTACATATCAGGGCCAGGACTTCAGCTTATATCTATCTGATCCCTGCGTCAGTGCTTTGGATCACTAAGCTTTGCAGCAAACAATCTGTAAGAAAGGTCTGATTAGGAAAACACCAAGTCACCACCATGACACTTAACATGTAAGATGAGATGTTGGAAAATAGAAAAGCACATGCTTTAGGCAATGGAAACAATGGAGCCACCTCGGAAATAGTCTGCTTTGTGCTCCCACCTCAGTGCTGCTCAGCCACCGTAAGCGATCCAACCAGCTCAGTTCACGAGACTGTCTGAACGTCCATAAGTAAGAGGCCAGTTTGGTACAAGGAGATAAAATGCTTTTGCTTCTGAGGAGGCCCAAGGCAGTGCCTAGCTCTAGGACCATGGCCATGGGAACTATTCATCCTTCTGCCACATTCCAGAAGGTATGGCCAAAAAGAACCTTGAAAGTGGATCTGGGGGTTCAGATGGCTGCCACATTCCTTCACATCAAGTATCAAATATGAGATGGCATAAGCAGAGGAAGCTCAGCTTCAGATCAGACAGGGTTCTCTCCTCTCCCTGAGGCGTCTTGAGGGAACAGTTTGAAATTCACAGATTTGGCCAAACCACTTCATTGGGGAACATTCTGCAAAAACCAGCTGCAAAGCAAACCCTTCTGGGTTTCACACGCTTCTCTAGTCACAGCTCACAGCGTGCTTCCTTCCCTCACATTGCTATTTGTGGCGTCTGGGAGAGCCGGCTACCCTGCTATTCCTTACCAGTCGCTTCTGAATCTCAGCTCCAGAGGAAGCCGAATTTGTTATTTAGGCAAACGCCACCAACACCATGAACTAAAGGGCTTTATCTACACACGCACCACCCCAGCCTCAGGCCAGCTCTGCTGCTCCCCACTCAGACACCCCTGCCCTGGCTGCGGAAACCTAGTCAAGGGATCCTGGCCAAGTCTTGTTAATGGCCCTGAGTCACTTTTTCTGGTTGAGGCATCATAGGACATTTAAAAAATACATCTTTTTATTGATTTTTAGAGAGAGGAAGGTGAGAGGGGAGAGAGAAAAATCGATGTGAGAGACAAACATGGATCGGCTGCCTCCTGTATGCCCCCCACTGGGGATGGAGTTGTAACCAGGGCATGTGCCCTGACCAGGAATCGAATCAGCAACCCTTTGGTGCATGGGCCGATGCCCAACCAACTGAGCCACACAGGCCAGTGCCAGGACATTTTGTTATTTTCTATGCATTTCTCAATGTAGCCAAGCTTTGACTGTGAGCATCTTTCATGAACTGAGAACTGTGTTAAATTAAGACATATTTCATCATCCAAGAGCGGGCTTCTCTAAAGCAGTATTTTTCTGATTTTAAATTAACACAGCCTTCAGAAATGTGTTGAGCATTAACTTCCAATAACCCCACTCCTCCTCCAAGTTAACCTTTGAATGCTCGCACCACCTTCTCCGTGCTTCAGTGCTCTGCATGTGCGCCAAGGGGCCGATTACAGAAGGGGAACTTGATTCGTGGCTTTGGGACACGTTTCTCCTCTTTGCCTCTACTGTGGACATCTTTTGATGTCAGCATGTTGAGATCTGCATCACTAACAGACACTTTCTCAAGCAAAGCAGGATTTGTTTTAAGCTAAAACTACACATGGGGTTGGAGCGAGTGAGGCTCATTCCCCAGGAAGAACTGAGCCGACCTCTGCTCCGAGGTGCACACATCAGCAAGTGGTCAGCTAGCAGACGCCACCGGGGCCTGGGGGGGGGGGCCTCCTGGGCAGGGGTTGTGGGCCCCAGGAGCAGGGCCCTGTCTCGACATACTTTGGCTCCCTGCAGGGCTTTGCCGACATGGCTAAGACACATCCAGACAGCACGTTTGATGCAGGGAGGCACACAGCCAGACCCCACTGCAGGGCTCACAGTGGCCCAGAGGGAAGGCAGGTGTCACAGCAAAGGTGGAGGCAGGACCAGGCGCTCTCCCCCGTGGTCCCACCTCCCCGGCGTGGGCGGGGCAAAATTGGGTGGACAATTCCCACAGGTGAAAATGTCCCGAGGGATATTTCGGGGAGAGAACACAAGCAAAGGCACAGGGCACACCCACCCACAGCTGCTGTATGGTCACACACGGCTCTACACAGCCTGCAAGCGCCCATCGGGGCTCTCCAGAGTAAACAGACACCTGACATCTGCCACATTCCCCTCACCCACCCTGGAAACAGGCCACGGGCCCCTGAGCACAGTTTCTGTAAACCGAGGCTGAGTTCAACAAGGAGGCCCACTGAGGCCGTCTGGGAGCCGCTGGCTTCGGGAAGGGCCCGGCTGCAGCGCCTTGCAGGGGCCCCATTACCTGAACAAGAGCAAGGTGTCTGTCTGGTCAATCCTTAGAAAGAGGGCTCTGGGAGGACACGGCCACACCAGGAGCTCCGGGCACCCTCACGCACAGGAACGGCCGTTACTCACCTGGCAGCAAACTGCAGCCTCCAGCGGCCTGGTCAGCCTTAAATACCCTCAGCGGGTAGCAGGTGTTTTGGGGCGTTTGGCCCTTCCCTACTGGGGTGGTTTCT